TAGCGGGACGGGCCCTTCCGTGAGAAAGCGATCGCAGCGCTGCACCTTTGCCGCTGCCGCCGGTGGTCAGGATGAACGAGGCAGGAAATGAGGGAGGCGGCACGGGGGGCGGGGGGGGGCTGAGCGTCAGGATTGGTTTCCCCAACTCTCCGGCCCTTTCGGCCCAGGACCACCAGTGCTGACACCGCAACAACAACAACCGCCATTCGCCACGAAGCGGCGGTGATGTCACCACGGTGCCTGTGCCAGGCTAGGTGCACTTTTAAGGCCACGTGAAGTGTCGACACCAGCACCCGCAACCAGCACTTGCCGGCGCGAGCAGCAGCAGCGCCACAACGTCGTGCTTCCCACGGTTGTTTATTGGGCGGCGAGGTGGCGTCGTGGAACCGCTTGTGCCTCGCAGTGAGAAGTGCCTGGACGCGACTCCCAACTCGGGTGCCTTTCTGTGCAGAGTTTTGTCAAGGGGCATGAACTGGCATGATCGCGCGAACTCCCGGTCATCATCATCGCAGCAGTAGCAGCGGCGGCGGCTTTTGGCTACCCACGCTTTCGGATGCGCCTCTGTGCCCGTCAGGAACGCTCTTCCTTCCGATATTAGGAAGCCACTGGAGCTATGCACTTTTAAATCTAGGTTCCTAACTCATTTCTTTAGAACTGCTTTTTGTGTTTGTTGTCCTTCCCCCGCACCTCCGATTAGCGCGGTTGGCTACGTACGGTGAGAAAGAAGCTCAACACACGTGTGTGTTCTCCCCCTGTTCTGCGTGGGGTTCACCCATAGCTATGAAGAAAAATACCCCGTAAAATGTGTTTGGTATTGGCCAAAAAAACGTTAAAATGCTGTACATTTACCTACCAATTATTCAATTAGGATCACAAACAGCAGCAGCATCACCATCACCAACCACTGCTGCCAAACCAGCGCAGGACCCTCTTGACAAAAGTGTCTTGAGACTCGAGCGAGGCTTTGATGGGTAAAGAAGCGGAGTGAAAAAAAAATGAAAAATAAGTGCAGTCATCACACGCTTCATTAGCCCCACATGACTTGAGCGAGTGCCGATTCAATTTGGAGATACCGCACGCACGGTGGTATGCGCGTGCTCGCACGCGGACAAATAAACACTGAGAGATCTCTGCGTTAATTTGCATTGGGATCAGCGCTCTTTGTATAATGCGGAGAGATGTGGGACAAAGACAAAAAGGGCCCACCCCACCCCCCCGTGGTGGCTGGCGTGGCACACAAAGGGTGGTGGTGGGGGTAGGCCAGCACTGCGCCCGGCCGCCTTTGTCTTCCCAGTGCTGTTGCTTACACAATGCACCGGGTGCTCATGATTTAAGGGAGGCCCGTAACCAGTTCGAATATTAGCCACTGATATTGGTCGCAAGGTGGGGAATCGAACTCTGGTTGCTGACTTGGCAGCGTCGGGCGACAACCACTACACTACCGCTCCCCACAACACACACAACCACTACACTACCGCTCCCCACAACACACACAACCACTACACTACCGCTCCCCACAACACACAACCACTAGGCTACCTCTCCCCACAACACACACAACCACTACACTACCGCTCCCCACAACACACACAACCACTAGGCTACCGCTCCCCTCAACACACAACCACTAGGCTACCGCTCCCCACAACACACAACCACTACACTACCGCTCCCCACAACACACAACCACTAGGCTACCGCTCCCCACAACACACACAACCACTAGGCTACCGCTCCCCACAACACACAACCACTACACTACCGCTCCCCACAACACACACAACCACTAGGCTACCTCTCCCCACAACACACACAACCACTACACTTCCGCTCCCCACAACACACACAACCACTACACTACCGCTCCCCACAACACACACAACCACTAGGCTACCGCTCCCCTCAACACACAACCACTAGGCTACCGCTCCCCACAACACACAACCACTACACTACCGCTCCCCACAACACACAACCACTAGGCTACCGCTCCCCACAACACACACAACCACTAGGCTACCGCTCCCCACAACACACAACCACTAGGCTACCGCTCCCCACAACACGCACAACCACTACACTACCGCTCCCCACAACACATACAACCACTACACTACCGCTCCCCACAACACACACAACCACTAGGCTACCTCTCCCCACAACACACACAACCACTACACTTCCGCTCCCCACAACACACACAACCACTAGGCTACCGCTCCCCACAACACACACAACCACTACACTACCGCTCCCCACAACACACACAACCGCTACACTACCGCTCCCCACAACACACACAACCACTAGGCTACCTCTCCCCACAACACACACAACCACTACACTACCGCTCCCCACAACACACAACCACTACACTACCGCTCCCCACAACACACAACCACTAGGCTACCTCTCCCCACAACACACACAACCACTACACTACCGCTCCCCACAACACACACAACCACTAGGCTACCTCTCCCCACAACACACACAACCACTACACTACCGCTCCCCACAACACACACAACCACTAGGCTACCGCTCCCCACAACACACACAACCACTACACTACCGCTCCCCACAACACACACAACCACTAGGCTACCTCTCCCCACAACACACACAACCACTACACTACCGCTCCCCACAACACACACAACCACTAGGCTACTGCTCCCCACAACACACAACCACTAGGCTACCGCTCCCCACAACACACAACCACTACACTTCCGCTCCCCACAACACACACAACCACTACACTTCCGCTCCCCACAACACACACAACCACTAGGCTACCTCTCCCCACAACACACACAACCACTACACTACCGCTCCCCACAACACACACAACCACTAGGCTACCGCTCCCCACAACACACAACCACTACACTACCGCTCCCCACAACACACAACCACTAGGCTACCGCTCCCCACAACACACAACCACTAGGCTACCGCTCCCCACAACACACACAACCACTAGGCTACCGCTCCCCACAACACACACAACTGGTCCCTACAACACACATAACCGCTGCCCACAATACACACAATCACTACGCTACTGCTCTCCACAACACACACAATCACTACACTACCGCTCGCCACAACACACACAACCACTACGCTACCGCTTCCCATAACACACACAACCACTACACTACCGCTCCCTACAACACACACAACCACTACACTACCGCTCCCCACTACACATACAACCACTACGCTACCGCTCTCCACAACACACAAACAACCACTACGCTACCGCCCCCCACAACACACACGGCACAACTGCACACACTCAGAACACCTCTCATCACGCGAAACGCGTTTGCCAATCATTGGACACGTGCAGGGTGTGAGGATGTTTGATTTGAAAGGAGACTGTGAATGTGAAAGGAGCCGCCGCTGGGCAGTAGTGGTTTGAGCAGAGGGCGGTAGCTGGGGGGGTTGGGGTGGGTGTTGGTGGGGCAGGGGGGGAGATGGTGGCCTCAGGGATGGGCTATGGGCGACACTGCTTCGGTTGCGAGGAGGCTTTAGCATGGCCAGGGTCGACCGGCTTTGATGTGAAGTCCCATGGCTCCCTTCCCTTGGCCAGCCCCCCTCCCGTATCCCCTCCCAACGCAACCCCCACAACAGCACCCCACCCCCACACAGCTGTAGTTGTGGGGGACAGCAGGAGAGGTGGTGGGGTGTGTGGGGGGGTAATTAGTACAGCATGTTACATACAGCTGTCCCTCTCTGCCTTGCGTGGTGGCTCTGCTGGGGGTAGCAAGCGGTGCCGGAGGAAGAGGGGCGATGAGGGGGGGGGGAGGTTGGAAGGAGTGGACGAGAGAAGTTGGAGTCAACGGCCGGTTGTTCAATTCCACACAATGGCCTCTGTCCTTTAGTTATCCGGTCGAGAGGGAGAGTGCCGGGCATGCTTTGGCGCGTTCAGTCGCGGCGTACGGGCACCACACCTCTCCTTGTCTCCCGGTCGGTCGTTGGATCGATCGGACTGCGTTGTTTTTATTACCTCTCGCCGAAATGAAACTTTTCTTTTACGCTTCAATGCGCACGGCCAGACTTGGCACCGTCTCGGGAATGTGGATTATCTGTTTCTTTCCCTCCCGCGCTGGCGGAGATCCACGGCCGGGCTAAGACGCATCACGGCTAGAATCCAGATCCGTTGGCGATGGAACGGGATGCGTCCTGCGAGGGGAACGTCCGCCGAGGTGACGGAGCGAAGATGAGAGGGGGGCGTCGAGGCGCCGAGATGCTAACTCCCTCTTCCAGTCTGCAGGAGGGTCGTGGGTTCAATCCCGACACTGATGCCTGCATCTAATGTACGGAGTTTGCATGTTTTCCCAGTGAGCGGTGGATATTTCTGGGGGTCCTCCGGGTTTTTCTCTCCACATTTAGAATCAACATCACGCCTTTACCTTCACCTTTATTGCAGCCTTGCACCCCTTTGGTTCTTGGGGCATCCTGCACCCCCATGGTGTGCGTGCACCCCAGGTTAAGAACCACTGCTTTAGAGTATTTGGCTGCTATGCATTGCCGCACGATAAGCCACTTCATCGAGCTGTCATTTGTGGCCAGGTCCCTCCTGAAAAAGAGCTTTACCTGGTGAAATATAAAATAGTTACGTTTTTAGTTTGCGTGCAGGATGGTCGGCGGTTTGTTGCATCGCAGGATGGATGGAGGCTGGCGGTGGTTTGGGAGGCCTTCATGTAGCACTTCGTGTTTGCCCATGCATGGGCACAGTCTTCGGAAGTGAAAAGCCTTCCGGAGAAGTTTCATTATGATGACAATAACTATGATAACGATGATAACGACGGTAATGCCGACGATGGCAATAACAATGATTACAATAGTCAAGATGATGATGACGACGACGATGATGATCACCGTCGTCGTCATGACGATGACAACGATGATGGTGCGACGACCATGACTGCAACGATAATGACGGTGTCTATATCTCATCTCCCCCCCCCCCGCCCCCCACGCAGGGTGGTGAAAGAGGAGATATCTGACGACGCGGCGCGCCTGCCCTGCTTCAACGGCCGCGTGGTGTCCTGGGTGAGTGCCCGTCTTCGTCGCGTCGCCCTGGGCTCTCCCAAGAGTGGAGGGTCATGCAGATAAACAGCTCCCGTTGTTGTGCCACTGTTGTTGTGCCACATTCACCCAACCCGCACTGACCGTCGCGGCGAAGTATGGTCTAATAACCCCCGCGACCAGCAGTGGCCCTCATCCAGCAGTGGATTGACAACGGAGGCTGCGGATGCACTTGAGGCTCGGTGAAGCCGGCACTACGGCACTTAGGATTTCAAAGGGTCGGTGTTAAACCCCCTGAGGCTCATAGAGAGACCTGTCAAAGCAACTGCCATTCACTCCCAGAGAGATGTTGCCCCAAGCAACCTACGTTCACTTTGATAGGGGGACTGTCTGCCTGTTGAAGGCAACCTCCATCCACTCGCACGGCGATGCGTGTTGACTTAAGTCTCCATGACCTCCGTTACCACCGGGGGAAGTCTGTTCGAGGGCATCTCCACGACCGTCGAGATGCGGGCGTCAAAAGTGGCTCCTGTGTCGCTTCGGAGAGCTTCAAGTTTCTAGTTTTGTTTTGTTCAACGAAGTTAGAGCTCGGGAGACCCGGGGATAGGCTCGTTCGCACGAGTGACCTGGGGAGCATAAGTCTGCTGTGCGTGTGCGTGCGTGTAAGCCCGGTTGTGTAGTTTAGTGGTGTCCTCTTCGAACGGATGGCGCTCGGAGTGTAGTGTGTAGTGCCCAACCGCGGCGGTGTTAACCGGGGGGGGGCGGCCTGCCGGTTTGGAACCGCGAATCCCCAGCAACAAGCGGCTGAGCGCGCCACCGCCGGGGCCCAACGTCGCCTCTCCCCAATTCCGGCGCCGCTGTTCGCTCAAGCGGAGAGACCCCTGTTCATTTCTCCACGGGTTGTTTGTGTCTTGATCACTTCTACCATTCGTTCGCACTAACCACCGCCACCCATCGCCACCCATCGCAGCCCCCAGTAGTAACATCCATCAAACCAACAGAATGTTTAAAAAAAAGTTATATTTTTGGCTGTACAGGCAGTCCCCGGGTTACGGAAGGGTTAGGTTCCTGAGAACGATCTGTAACTTGAATTTTTTCCGTATGTCGGGAAACTGCACCATTTCCCCCCAAAATCAACGATAAAACCCCAGAGCCGGAAATAGTTGTGCCTTCCCTGCCGTTTTCACTCAGTACTACATCGTATGATTCTTTAATTTAATCGAATATCTACCCTAACGCTACCCCCATAATTAAACTAATGGAGCATATACTGTATCCAATTGTTTATGAATACCACAAACATTTTATTGTTAATTATTAACAGGAAGCGGTTACTTCCCAATGTTCGTTTACTGTGCATTAGGCTAGGCCTAGGCTTCTCCGTTCCCTGTTGGCTAAGACCATGAGGCATGGGAGTGTAATTGTGTTTAAATAAAGTACGTACAGTTCACTCTTGATTTGAAGCTTTCGTGACTTCAGGAATCCATACTCTTTGGTTCTTTCGGTAAAGTTAGAAATAAAATCAAATAAAACAAATCACGACGTTTCGATTGCAACACAAGCTATCTTCATCAGGTGGGACAACCACAGCAAGACAAAATATCTACTAGGTTTGTTCATGAAGCCATCCAGATACATAAACATAGATATAACTTAAACCGAGAAGATGGATACAAATTGAGCAATCATTGGAAGGATGTTATTAACCAGGCAAAAACCTTAACTGTTTATGGTTGTTTCCATCATATCTGCCGGGTACTAGTCTATTTTTCCGAGTTAATTCCCCCCCCCCCGCATCCCCAGCTTTCCCAGTCTCCCACTTCCAGCCTTGCCCACTTCCCCCTCCACCTTCACGTCCTCTCTCCCTCTCGCGCTCACGCAGCGCCCCCCTCTCCCTACCCCCTCCTCTCTCTCCCCTTGCTCCTCCCCCTTCTTACCTATATAACCTCTTGCCACGGCAGCTCTCGCCCATTTCAGCAATTTTTTGTTGTTGCTGTGGTTGTCCCACTTGATGAAGATTGCTTGTGTTGCAATCGAAACGTCGTGATTTATTTAATTTTATTTCTAACTGCGTGACTTTACCGAAAGAACCAAAGAATATACATACAATTCATAACTCATGAAATAAACTTAAACTAAAGAAAACTAGCAATAGTTCTAAGCATACAAAACGAACAATTAAGTAATGCTACAAAAGGAAAAGAATTACGTAACTCGACAAACAATTCCATTGACCTTAATCCTGGTGAGGCTCGGTGAAGGCGGCGTTTTTCTGGAGCGAGGTGCCTTACGCCTCGCTCCGCGGCATTCATCCGCAACCTCACCGCGATGCACTACTTTCGCTTACTTGACCAACTCAAACATTTTTACGTGTTGACTTTTTTTCTTGAACAAGATTTATTATTGGAGCATTTCCGGAAAGTCGGATTTCCGTAAGTCGGGTCTTCTCCAACCCGGCCACTTCCTGTACAGAGTAACAAAGGCCTGAAGCAGAACGTTGGGTCACAGAAAATAACCGTACGCGAATATCTGCCCGGCCTCTGTGCCCTACGTGTTCCGATTCATGGTGGTGGGGGGGGGGAAGACAGACAACCCGGGGAAGGGTGGGCTGGGAGGGAATCTACTTTCTCCTTTACATAGAAAACATCGTGGCGATAGATCACTCGCTTTTTATTTTCCAATGTAGGGAGAAAGTAAAATGGGACCGGGGATTTGTTTAATATACGGGTGAGGAGGAGTCCCCCGGTTTGCATGGTGGGGGATGTGAGGGGGGGAGAGAGGAGTGTGGAGGGTAAGCCGGGGGGGGGGGTTATTCCCCCCCCCCCAAATCAACAAGACATAAGAAGCGCGGACGGTACGATTTCCTCCCGCCGCGAGGCCGAGCATCACTCCCGTTGGGGCCCCGAGGGGGACTGATGTCAGCCCTCCCAGCGGTCCCCATCTCCCCGGCCTTCTCATCTGGTTCGCTCATTTCAGGCACCGGAATGCTTTTTTGTTGTTGCTATTTTTCCCATCGGCAGTGGGTGGGCGGGCGGTTGAGAAAAGCCTGATGAGGCTGGTTGTTGTAATTGCCGGCGAGACGTCACGGTTGTCGGATTGTAAATGTCGTGGGTTAACGAATTGGCACGTTTTGTTCACATGAACAACCTTACTGGATTGGCTGTGTGCGGGGCGGGTGGCGGGTTTAACGGGTTTAACGAGACAACATTTAAATTTTCGCGATCTAATCCAAACAAATAAAAAAAACTTAGCACGGGTCATTTTCCCGTACACGCAGATATCGGGGCGGGAGAAATCGAGGCGCAACGTGAATGATGTGGGTGAAAACCACGAACCGTTCCGAGGTGACGGCGTCATTATGATAATTTATTAATAATCTAAAGTCGCAAAGCGCCCTTAAACATTCGTTCTCAGGGCCTGCTTATCGTCGTGACGGCCAGTGGTGGAGGTGGAAGTAGAGGGCGCTCGCTTTTGAAGGTCCTTTGGTGGTTACATAGAGTTGCCGCTAGAACGAGTTGAGTTCTCGAGATACATTTTGAGAAAAATCATAATAATTGATCCACACCTTGGCGGAGGGGCACGTTTAGCCGAGACAGCATCTCGGCTGAGTCCCAAGATGACGCGTCGCTCAAGAGGGTCCTGCCAAGTTTTTCGGAGTCAGGGGCTGGGGTGGGTGGGGGGGTGTTGCTTTCCACTTGATCCCACGTGAACACGCACACGCTCACTCTGCAGAATATGGTTAAGTACGTACAAACATATCGACTCTCCGCTCTCACTCACTTTCGCTCACACGCTGACTCTGCAGAACATGGGAAGAACGTTCAAACATACAGCCTTCACTCACTCTCGCTCACGTTCATACTCTGCAGAACATGGTTAAGGGCGTACAAACTCTGCAACGACAGTCATAAATCGTACCCGGGCAGCGTAATTTCATTCACTTTGGGAATGTTCAGCCAATAGCAGTGACATTGCTCGGCGTATTTCGTTTCCGCTGGTTCTCTATGGAGCTGGGGGCGGAGGAGGCAGTGGGAGCGCTGCGTTGGTCGCCCTCTCAGATGACGACGCCTCGCACAGAAAGGGCGCCCCGCGTAGAACTAGGATGGATCTCGCCGGTGCCAGCGCCCCGGCAATTTAAAATGCTCTTTTGACGAACGCGTTTCGCGTTGTACGCACGCTCGACACGCAACTTCACATCGCGTGCGAAGCGAAGCTTGGCGTGTGCGCGTGTCGAGACCGCGTGGGGTGTGGGCGGCCCGTCCATCGCGTGTGTCTGCGCGTGCGTCTGTGCGGGCGTCTGTGCGGGCATCGGCGCGTTTCCATGCGCACGCTTCCTTGCGTGCGTTATAATCCCCAACGAGGGCCCAAAGAGAACTATCAAACACCCTTGGTGTGCCGCGCGCGTGCTCACGTGCACGCACACACACACACACGCTAGTCAATATTAAACTTTGATCACCGTGTCCATCAGTCGCAGGACGGCAGGGTGGCTGAGCGGCGACTCGAAAATAGTCCCCTCCCCCATCCCCCCCCACCCCGCCCACCAGCTCGTCCACCTGAGCCCTTCTAGTTCCCAATTAGTGAGGCCGAGATGCTCTTCGCGGCGACGGCTTGGTGCCGTGTTTGCGGTGGCCTGTCTGGAAGCGGTGGGTGCCTTGCGAATGTTGAACATTAAATTGCGATTGAAACGGACAAGAAGCGTGCTTACGTGGTTCTCAAAAATTGAGCGAGGTTATTGGTTAAGAGCCTGGGGGGAGGAATTGCAAAGTGGAGCGGTGCGAGGTATGGAGCCAAAGGAGATGTGTTTGTGACCTGTGGTGAGTGGGCGAGCAAGTGGGTGTGTGGGAGAATTAGTGAGCGAGTGTGTGAGTGGGTTCGTTGATGGGTGAGTGGGTTAGTTAATGGGTGAGGAGGTGAGTGGGTGAGTGTGTGGTTGAATTAGTGAGTGTGTAGTGGGTGAGTGGGGTGGGTTGGAGAGTGGGTAGGTGAATTAGTGAGTGTCTGGGTGAATTGATGAGTGTCTG